CTCTTAAACAACTTTGAATGGTCTTGCCTAATGAGCACTGTATTATCTGATGACAAACCTTCACATCAAAACCAAATTGCCTGTAACTGTAACTTCTGTTTTTCCAAGGTTTTGCCTTCTCAGCAGAGTTCTTTATATCTCCAGAAGCATGGGACGTGCCTGAAGTGGGAACTCAATTAAGATACTCTGATTTTATTTCATTACGTTTAGGTGTTCAGGTGGTTGTAGCTGTTACAAACCTTACTGGCAAATTGCTTTGAAGTAAATTCTTCTGTAGAGATTGTGCTTTTGTGAAGGAAAGCATTGTTCTAAGCAAGTCTTGAAATCGGAGTAGGTTTCAAAGGAGCAGATGAAGTTATTGTTCGGAGCTAATGCTGGTGCTAATAAATGCTGACAGGATTCCAAGGCTGCTCCCTAGAAAAGCTGCAACTCTCTTGAAGTTAGAAACATTTTAAATTTTAACTAGACTTAGAAACTTTTTAAAAGGTTCTTTCTTTAGCAGTTGGTAACAGGCACTGTTCTATAACCAGCATTGCTCCAGGGTGGTTCCTTGGAAAGCAGAGGTGGTCCAGAGATTGGTGAAGTTGGTGGCCTCCTTCTAACACATTTTGCTGTGTTTCCTGGTATGTGTATGCTTTCTTTCTCAAGGAATTTCACCTGTTACTGTATATTTATTGATATCAGTGGAGAGCAGTGGACTGCCTATTGGCAAGCCGTCTAGTCCAAAGGATGGACAAGAGAAATGGAATAAGGGAATTCCCAAGCTGTTATTTAGGAGGAAATTCTGCATAAGGCATGATCTAGATCAAAATTGTTGTCAGTTTTATATAAATATAAATGGATTTATATTCATAGATAGAAGAGGCCAGTTACTCTTAAACAGAAAAAATGCCCCGATACAGTGAGAATCATTTTACTGAAAGGCTCATGCAGCTAAGCAGATTTAGCTCTGCTTTTAAATAAATACAGGGAAATGTTTAACCCCCTTTGTATGGCCACAAAGCCTGTGCTGATCACACAGAAGCATGGGAGGTCGAGGACAAAGCCATTGGCTGCTGGAAAGGGCTTTTTGTGCGTGCTTCTGCACAGCGCTGTGACTGTGGGGCTTAGCAGCAGACTCTTGTCAAGATTACAATGTGGAGGGGAGCGTGTTACAAATCCCCATCTCCCACTAACAAAACAAAAGAAAGAAGATAAAAAAAAAAATTAAGAGGAGGTCTGTATAGCTATATGCACAAGGTAATGGCTGATTTCCCTTTTCTATTCTGATTCTTCTTGATCTGTTATGTGGTTGAGGTCTGTGTACCTTGCTAGCAGTTAGCTAGATTTATTGAGTAGCAGGAGTGTGGGGAAATGGAATTTAAACTTCTGATGCAAGAACAGACCCATTCTGTGTAACTTATTTAAACCTTTAATTTTGATTAGCTGTCTAAGAATTGAAATGAATACTCTATAATTTATTTCCATTGAGGAAGGCTGCAACTTTGGAACATATTAAAGATGAGAACAAACATAAATTCTGTTTTGACTGTTGTAATATATTGAACTAGTTTGTATAAAATGAACACATTGCTGGAAAAAATATTAATACAATCCGGGCTGGAGTACTTGCTTTAGAATAGGTATTTAGTATAGACTTATCTATGAAGAATGAAAAATTGAGCAGTTATCTTTGGTGTATTTACAGGATGTGGGTTTTTTTTTTTGTTTTTTGTTTTCCCATTATTACTTTGTCAGAATCATCTGGGGTTGAACACTGCCAGAAATAAGGTAGATATGACAGAAAGATGAATCACTGTCCTCATCAACCACCAGGGTAGTTTCTCCTCTTCCGAGAGCTCCTCATCACTCCTTAATTCTGAAAGAAGAAACGACATGAGGGTGAATGCTAGATCTCTGCAGTTCTGAATAGCATAAACCAGTGCTTAAATACATTAAATATATTTTCTATATTTTTTTATATTTTAAAGCAAATGTTTTTCCAGGTCCTCAAAATGTGTTATGTTAAATATTTTCCTACAGTGTTGTCAAATAAAAGAAAGCTGAATTATATACATGTGTGTAGGTAGTATTAGTTTTGGGGAAAAAACTGTGTATTGTGCCATTTTACTGTTATTTTTTTAAGGTTATGTTAAGAAGATAAGAATGTTCTACCTTTTGATGAATATATGGAATACATTTTATCTAAAATGATTCAGCCAATCTGATTATAAAATAAAAATGGAATTTTTATGTTTTGATTTCTTCAGAATTTGAACTTTTTTTTGTATATTTTTTTATTGCAATGCATACTTTCTCATTCTAAATTGTACTTACCTAAAATCTATCAAGGTTATTAGTTTTACTGCTTTAAAAACATCTAAACTATATAAATTTTAGTTCTTTCACAAAATTTTAAATGAGTAAGTACATGGTAAGGATTTTGATTTGATGTGTAGAATTAAAGGATATATTTTATATTTCTTCTTTCACCCAATAAGTGATAAATTAGTTTCTTCAACTTATTTCACCCAATCTGTAGACTTATATATATATATATATAAACAGTTTAGAATGTTTTTACACCATGTTCTTAACCCTTTGATTTTTTTTTTTTTCTTTCTTGTTTCATTCATGCTGTCTTACTCGTGACTGCTCTGCTATGGTACAAGTGCTCCTCTTTCTTTGGAAGCCAGATACTTAGTTATCCATTTTCTGTATGTGAAGTCATATGCACAAGTAGTCCTGAGCCTATTGTCATGCTTAACTTTTAAACATAATCCTTGTGTCTACAGCTGTTTTCACCGGTGGTAACAGCCAACCAGGGACAAATTCCTGTCGTTCTGATAGGATAATTGGCAAGTCTCTTATAAAACAGTCTGGCCATATATCACCTAATGTAATCTGAGTTTCATCTGGGTACCATGATGTGTCTGTGTCCCTAATATAGAGCTAATTGGTGTTGTAGTTCACAGCATCTCAAGGGAGTTGCATGGCAGTCCACCAAATCCATGAGTTTGTAGCATAGCACTGTGGGGGCACTGGGAGTGTTTGGGGATGCATTGACTTGCAGGGACTGTCTGAGGTGGAAAGCCAAAACTTGTGTGAGCTCAGCTCTGCGGATGTGGCCCCTAGGATGGACTGTTCCCTTAGATGTGGGTGATCTGGTGAGACAAAGCAGCTGGGAGGAAGTGTGAGTGGCAGGACAGATGCATCCATCATCTTTGTATAGAAAGGATATGTATGATTATGGTCATACTCAAGGGTTTTGGTCAACTAGGAGTTGCACATCACAGTTCTGAATGCAGTTTCAGTGCTGACTTCAGCTAACTGAGGTCCTGTTAGTATGTGACAAGCTGGTCCCTGTGGGAAATGTGGGTGTAAAGTAGGGAGGGATTTGAGTGCTTAAGTAAAGAGAAAGGCGATGAAGTGATTTTTCACCTCAATGAAATAAAGGATAGATACCAAACTTCAAAAGTTACAAAGACAGTGTATTCTTCCCAGTGCTTCATTATGTAAGAACAACTAGTTGATTAGAAAGAGTAGAATAGAAAGCAGTGTATGAGAAGAGAGCTCTTTTCTACTGGAAGGAACAGATACAAGAGAGGTCTGCTCAACAGTTAAAACTTTACTGGGTTACAGAATGATTTAAAAATAATCTGGATTTGAAAATACACAGAAGGAAATTGTTAGACAGCATTATCACATTGACAGGAAAATGATATTACCAGATCACTAATTCTTGCATTTTTCTCCTATTTCATTGTACAGGATAATGCTGATCTGCTGTTGAGAGTAAATTATAAACTTTTTAGCTGATATAGTTTATATTTTAATGTGTGCTGTATAAAATACCGAGTAGCTTCACTGCACTCAAACTTGTCTGTTTCTTCTGGTGTTTTGTTTCGTCACCAATTCACTGAAATCAGGACTGTGTTTGTTTCAAACTTAGCTTTACAGTACATTGCTTATCTGCAAATTAAGCTAAAGAGCTACAATGGAAAATCCCAGTTCAACATTTTTTGAGGCTCATTTTCAAAATGTAGTTTTTGAACCTTGATCTCTTGAAAGTTCTACTCCATATATACTTAACAACTGAAATATAAGCAACCTTCTTCTTGACAAACGCTCAAATATATCTAAAATGGGGCATTGAAGTAACAAAGATTGGAGCTGCTTGTAGAGTTCTCATGAATAAAGGAGGAAGATTGTATCTGAATTCACAGTAAGCTTTATCTTGCTGTGTTCTCTTTCCTTGTGTTGAACTTTTAATTTGGGAGATTTACTGTCTCATCCTTCATCAAGTGGGTGGCATCTTTGTACATGGTAGAGGGGTTGGAACTAGTTGATCTTTGAGGTCCCTTCCAACCCAAGCCTTGTGATATTCTCCTAGAATGCATGAGATCAAAAGAACAGCTTACAAATTAACTGTAAGCCCAGATCACTGGCGAGAGCTGTGACCAAAACTTTCCCTGAAGTAGAAGCTTGCTGATGGTGCTGCTGTGACCTTCGAGTCTTAGACGCTTGAACATTTGTATCCTGAAGAACACTGCAGCATTTGATCTTGAAGCGAGTACTCAGTATGACTTAAGTTAGATTACTGAAATTCACGAGGGTATGGTTAGGCTTTCCTACTAGCTTGGTCAGCCTTTGTGCAACAGTGGTGTTTTTCACTGGATTCTGAGAAAACCTAGATACAGAAAACATTGGATACATCAATGGGTGATCTGGTTTGAGCTGATGGATCTAGCTGTGTTATTTTGTAGAGCTAAATGAGAAAAATAATTTTGAAAGCTATGGAGTTGTTGTTGTCTTTTTTTGTTCCTGATGCCTCCCATTTGTCATTCAGACCAACATAGGTTTAGCTGCTAGTAAAATAACATTTCACTTAGGTCACATAAACCATACAGGATTTAGCACTGCACCTTTATGAGGACATATCTGGTGTATTTGTTATATTTTAACAGCAATTGTGATTAATGGCCTGTGTAATAATTCAGATTCTACATCATTTTTTGCAGGCAAGGCAGTAAGACAAAAGACCAGCTATACAACAGAGAGAAGGGAAAGTAAATACACAGATCATCTTGCTTAGAAGTTTTTCTGTAAGGTAAGAACTTTTTCCTTCAAATTTTAATCTCTAAATTTAGAGGAAAAAAGCTACTGACATTGAGTTTCTATGTTTAAAGTTTCTTTTAAGAACTGTCAGAGTTGTCAAATAATGCACTCTGCGTTTTGCTGCTTTTCCATGTTTGTTTGGGTTACCAGGTTGTAAATAATATAAACTTTAAAATGTCAGCACAGTTTTTACCTGAACTGCTCAAATCAAATATATTAACTGGAAAAACAGCTAAATTATTTCACAGCTTCACATAATTGAAGGTAGGCTTAATCATCTCTGATATTCCCTGCTGGAGAGAACAGGTGTCGTGACAAGCCATCTAGTAAACAAATCAGTTTGAGAAACAGAGTTTAAGAGAGACTTAAAGTATTTTTGTACCAAAGAGATTTTACTTCTAGCATGGGTCATAAATATTTATAAATATTTGGTGATAGGGATATTCTGAATTCTTCAGTCTCGCAGTTTTTTCCTAAGATTAAAATGCCAGTTTTGGGAGTTTCTGAAATAAGCTTTGATTTTTTTTTATTTTTATTTTTTTCTTCTCAATCTCAGCCCCTTCCTGCTCTTGTAGTTGAAATGCATAAGTCTTTCCACACGAGAACAAAGGTAGCCTTACTTGAAGTTACTAGTAGCTGCTGAATAGTCATCTGTGTTTTAGTATTTGAATTTATTGAATAAAAAAAATCTGATTTTGTGTCTTGAATATGGTATTGTATACACTGGAACAGACCTTTTATCTTCAAGTGTGTAGGCGTGGATGGCTGCAGTATTTTAAGCCTCATTTGTGTATTCAAGCTGACAGCATCTGACAGTGTCAGTACGTGGTTTAGAACAGAAAAGTGGGTAGATGCTGAAACTGCGTGCTGGTTTTGTTTCTAAAAGTAACATTAGTATATCCTTTCTTTCCAACAAAGATTTTCTGCTTCAGAGATCTCTTGTTAAATGGTTTATGTGTTAGTCACTCAGGAGTTAAATGTTGCTTTGCGTAAAGAGGACTGTTACTGTAGGGTTTTGAAACTAGACTGCTCTGCATAAAAGATAACCATTGAAGATTCTGAAAGGCTTTTTGGATGGTAATCAAATTAAGGAAGTTCTAAAGTTCTTTTGGCTTTCCTGCTGGCTGCTTTCGCTCCCTAAGATCCTGGCACCCTATCCCTGTGCCCTCATTGCCTCCATGGCTCTAGTTCCTGGGTCAGGGAATGCCACCATTCAATGGCCCCCCAGAGCTACTTGGATGAGTGACAACCAGCCAGCTCCAGAGTGACAAGTGTTTGAATGTCTAATTGGGTCAGTGCACAGGTCCATGCTCCTTGTGAGATGTTCTAGCTTTCCTCTGTGATGTTTTCTTGGTTCCTCTCATTTTTCCAACAGTTGTAAAGCGAAATTTTCAATACTTTATTGCAACAGAACAGACATTAGGAAAGTAAAAAGATGATTTTTTATTTTTTTTCCCCCCCTAGAGTCTTATGGATGAGGTAACATTACTGCTTGACTACTGACTAGAGCAGTGGCAAAAAAAATCCACTGAAGTGAGGAATATATATTGATGCAGATAGATACTGTAGTGGACAACACAGCAATTTGACTGGTGAAACAAATACGTTGTCTTAGTCTGTATTTACATAGCTGATATATTGGTTAGAGTCTTGGGCATCAGGAAGCAACTGACCCTGCATGGCATTACAAGCAGTTGGTGTTTCAGCTGCTCTCACTGGTTCTGTAGCAACAGCAGACTTGTTAAGGGTGCACTTTGCCTCATTATCTTGGACATTAATGAAATTGTTGAACAGCACTGGCCCCAGTGTCAACCCCGGGGCTACGCCAGTGGTGACTTGCTTCCAGCTGGACCTCATGCTGATTCCAACCATTGAGGCCAGCAGTGCACCCAGCTTTCATCCTCCCTGTCCTCTTATCTAGTCTGTCCTTTATCAGTTTGCCTATAAGGATCTGATGGAAGGTAGTGTCAAAGTCTTATGAAAGCCAGGATAAACAACATCTGCTGCTCTCTCGTCATCCACTGAGCACACAGTTTGCTGGTCTGTTTGCTCAGCCTCAGTCTGAGTCATGGCAGGTCCTGCTGGCAGAGCCACTCTGTGAGGTTGGTGCTTCCCCAGTTCAACACTTATTTAAAACAATATTGGCAATTTTGATTTGACCAGCTTGCGGGATTCTAACATAATTTTTTTCAGTGGTGTATATTAAAAAGATTAAAAAAAGGATACTTGAAGTTTTTCATGCTTGGCAATGTTTAATGTGATGTGGGCAGCAGCATTATTACTGTCAACATCATTTATATAGGAACTGTTTATATAACCTACCTGCTGTCCTTATTAATAAAAAGGTCCACTGACAAATGCAAAAAATAAGGACCAAAATGGAGTATATGTATGCTTTCTAAGGTAATTGAAGTTCATATAAACTGGTTTTGCCTTTTTTTTTTTTCTCGCCTTACTATCTCAAGTTTCCTTATATGAATTTGTTAGAATAAATTGACTGCTCCTGGTTTTTTTTTTAGCTCTCTTGTAAAGTTTTTTTTCTTTTTTTTTTTTTCTGTATGCTAAGATGGGACAGCATGTGAAGAAAATACATAAACCTCGGTTGTTGATGCGTAGGTTTCTTTTTGTAAGAACTTCTGTTCATGATTATGGAGCTATGTACATTATTGCAAGTTTGAGTTGATTTTTGTGGCAATCATGAAAACAATCAAAGAACTTATAAATAAAACCTTAAAAACATTTTTAACATGATTTTAATGAGGATGGGAAGTTGAAGGTATAGAAAGGACAAGAAATATTAAACCAGTCTTTGTTCTGTTTTTGCTCTAAAGAGCACTCAGAGCTCTCAGCTTCCTGCAAGAGAAATAGTGAAGGATCTTGAAAACATATTTGAGTGCATCTCAGTGGTGCATATGCACTCAGTAACATGCCACTAGGATTGTCTGTTAAACAGCAAACAGCTATCAAGACCTGGATATTTTCCATCTAATTTTAGGTGCTTGGATACATCAGATACATTAACAGCATGTTTTTTTTACTTGTCCCAGCAACTCTATCTGGCAAATACACATCATCTGATCTTCAAAGATCTCTCCTTTTTCTGGAGATCGGTGGTCCTGCCTGTGGCAGGGGGGGTTGGAACTTGGTGATCGTTGGGATCCCTTCCAACCGAAGCCATTCTGTGGTTCCTCAGTGTTTTGTTATTCAGGGATCTGAAACTCGACATAGTTTTCAAGACAAATACCTCACGATTACCAGCTGGAGCAATACCATAATTTTCTGCAGTCTGCTGGCTGTGCTTTCATTACTGCTCCCTCTGACATCCATAAGCACTTGTTCTTGCCCTGTCCTTCCCTTGCTGTGACTGACACTCAGGAATGAAACTCTGTCTTGTATTGCAGTTGGATCTTTGTGCTGTTCATATATATATGATATATAATGTATATATATTATATTTGATATATAATCAGCCCTTGCTCAAAATAGAGTACATTACATATATATATACATAATATATAAATATATATATATAATATATAAATACAATATATATATATAATGTGCTCAATTATTTTGAGCAAGGGCTGATTGTTCAGTTTAGTACTACTACCTTGTGTGAGAGCAAACAGTGAAAATTTAAGAGACTAGTAGAAAAGGTGTCAGCTGAAGCAAGAAATATGAAAGTAAGGATTAGATAGTTTAACACCATGTATTAGCTTCACACTGAAAGAGCAAAACACCTTCATACAGAACATAAAAGGAGCATCTGTTATAAAAACAATCTGATGGACTACCAGTTTAGATATTGAGGATGCAATGTGAGCATGCATATAGGTGTGTGGTTTTGTTTTGTTTTGTTGTCTCCATAGGAACAGCAGTCTCTTTTCAAAGCACATCTTATTTGCTGGGGGCATTAATAGGAAAATGTTACTTCTGCTGTCGGTGTAAGAGGCACCCATATCTCAGTTACTGCATTTCTTTTAATTTACTGGTAGATATTGTATGGCTGAATTGATTACAGACTGGAATAACGTCTTTGTCCTGTATTCCTGAAAGAGGAATTTGTCTACAAAGAGGTTTCATAGTAGATAGAGTGCTATTTTTTTCCTAGGAGAGAAGGGTAAAAATTTGAGTTACACTTGAAATACAGTAATAAAAGTAAGGCAAGCTAGCTGATAAATTTATAATCTGTCTAGGCACACCTAGAAGTCCACTGAGTTACATTAAGCCTAACAAAAAATGATCACATCCGAAGGCGGGATTGTTATAACCTGCTGGTGCAGCCTAAGGTGAAAAAGAAGTATCCAGACTTAAGCTTTTTGTTACCATGCCTTGACCAAGTTTGTACTTGACAGGACCTCTTATTCATGAGGCCTAGAGTCTTGTAAAACATTCATCCACATTCTTTTCCTTTTTGTTTGCCAGACAGAGAGCAATGCTGCTTTCAGTCTTCTGTTTCAATTCCCTGTGACTTTAGGGATTGATATTGGGAATGCACAATGGCTTTAGCACTGCCCTGACTTGATAGTTTATAAAAACACTAAGGTATTGCTAGGCAACCGTTACATGTATTTGTACAAAGTCCAATTTTAATAGATATTTTAAGAAACATGTTAGCATGAGACATAGGCAAAGAAACACAGTATTGAAAGAGACTGCAGTGTTATACCAAGACAAAAAAAGGAAAAAAAAAAAAAGAGAAAAAAAAACCTGAATTTTTTTTTACCTGGGTCTGTCATGTGGAAAGCTTGGCAGTGCTGAATTTGTTATAGAATAGTTTGCTACTGCATAAGGCCATGTTTATATTTACAAGGGTATGATGTAATAAAGAAACTGAAATAAAGGATTTTATTAATTGAAATTTAAGGAAAATAGTACGGTGCTCCGCAACACAGAAGATGAGCTTACAAAATCAGTTGATAAAAGACCAATGGAATGGATTACAGAGGGATAAAAAGAGCAGAGGACAACAGTTCAATATGGAAAGGGATAAATTGTTTTCTAAGTCACTATTTTTAATCACTATCTGCAATAATAGAGTAAAAGAAGATGCAGTTTCTTGTTTTATTATAAATTTATAGAAGAGTTATTAAGCATAATGGGCAGATGATATTAATGGATAATCTGAATAGATTTATGCATTAATAAAATGTAATTATAATGAGTAAAGGCAGCAAATGTTATGCATTTTAATATCTGGAGGGCTTTAGCCTTTGTTGAAAGATGATGTATTTTTGCAGAGGAATACAGATCGCCCTTAATTATCTGAATATTTTTCTAGGCTTTTGTGACAGGAGTGCATTATGTCTAAATAACTATGAATATTAAAGTGTCTGGTACAGTATAACACTGTTGGTATTAATTTTGCACTAATTATTTCAAGGAAATCATAATCTAACAGCTTTAAAGCTCCGGAATAATTTTTGCATTATTTCATTTTGTTTATCTCTAAAACAAAACGTTCGTGTTATCAGTGTTCAAAATTGGTAGTAGATGATTCCAGGTGCCTCTTACCTGGAATGTATGAATTTATTTCTAAGAAGGCAGGGTTGCAATGGGATAGCAAATCTTGATCTGTGCTTAACTTAGAAGGAATAAAGACAAGTACAGGGCTATAAATAACTTCCCCCATCTTTTGATTCCTTCCCCCAAATCTCCTTTAAGGCACAGAATGGATAGAAGACCACTGACTGCTGAAAGTAATAGTAATTGCTCCTTTGAATGAGCTTTAATCGTGGCTTTGCTAGTCTTCAAATCCTGGACGATGTTTTCTTGTGCTGTCTCCTCAAAAATATATTGGTCCATTGCTAGGATCCATTGTGTTACATTGTGATCCAGTGTGTTACATTTCCTGAGCTTCAGATCATTCTTGGTGGAATGAACCTTCTAAAACACACAGAAACGTTGAGTAACCAAATATTGGTATGGAAGCTCATGCCCTGAACTTCTGCCAACACGATGTATGTACATCTCCTAGAATTGATTAGCTGCCTAATTACTGTCCTCAGAGGAGGAGTCTTGTGCATGATCTCAGGTCAGTTGTAGACAGGGCTGTTTTCTTCCGCAGTTCTCCAATCTGGGCTGTTTACGATCAGGTGCCTGAGGAGGCTAAGAGAAAAAAGCAGTTTTAGTGTATCTTGCTCCTTCTTGTCATCCAAAGAAACAGTGTTAGTGCATCCTACCTCCTCCCCTACTGCCTTTTTCCCTCCAGATGACTAATCACATGTGTGTCTGCAAGCAACTCAAACCAAACTTCCATTAATTCAGCTTCAATAGCATTCTCGTAGCTGAGTCTGCTTTCTAAAATAGGATTTAAAAAACAAAATGAAAACTATAATCCTAGCAACATCAGCATAATCTATGGATTGGGAGATTGGAGAGTTATCTGTTTGCAGCAAGACACTGTACATCAGTTATGTGAGCTGTTTAGACATTATTTCATATTCGTTTGTGCTATGATCAGTAACCGTGAGCCTTTCCTTGGTCTCTCATTATGATAGAAAGATGATGTTTTGTTTCCAGATTTCCAGTTCATTCTTTGCTGTTAAGGATTCCTTTCATGTACAATCTCTCAAACATGCAGTATTTTCAGTGAATAGTTTTCTTTCTCTCATTTATACCCTGGCTCAGTGCATCTGTGGAGTTTTTATCTCTTGCTACCCCATTGTGCTGCATACAGTAATGCAAGAGCCTAACTGAGGGCAGATGGCGAAGGAAACCAATCAGAGGTGCTTGTCAGTGATGGAGTAATTTTTAAATTACAAAATGCAGTAACAACCCATAGCCATTACATTTTTCTAGTATGTATGTACTAGATTTTTTTATTCATTAAAATTAAAAAAATCGAAATTTATGCTTCTTTGAATGTATTAAAACTTATGCTTTGAGAATCTTGTTTTGTGTCTCATACGAGTGGGTCTTCCATTTCGGAACCATGCTACATTAGATATGATTTGTGGAGTGGTGTGTAGACCCATAGATCTTATATGTGCAAGAACTAATAATGTGCTCAATGTATGTGTATAGTTTTGGTTTCTATGTAAGCATACTCCAACAGAGATTCTCCTTAATAAACTTTATGCCTGCAAGGAAGGGATAGTTGCCAAGGGCTTATAGAGTCTCTTTGCTGTGAACAACACATTTCACTGCATGTGCATGTGTTCTGTGAGCGTGTGTCTGTGTGTATGCATGAGAGAGAGATCTTGGAGCCACAAAATTTCTGTGAATATTAAATAGTTTAAAGTGTCTGCGTGCCAGTGGAACATTGGGAACCCAGTCAGCGATGGATCAGTGGAATTGCCTGACCTTCATGTTCATACTGTGTCTCTCCTCTTTTCCTTCGCTGCATCCTTCATAGTCATAGCATGGGCTTCTTGCCTTTGTTGGCATGTGAAACATGCTTTGGATCAGTGACTGCTGTATGCATGTGATAATTATTAGTGGATACCAGCCTCTCCTAGTCCTGAAGTGAGTCAGTTTCTGAGCCATCTTTGGCTCCTGTTTAGACTTGGTTATATGAATGTATAAATATTTAAGTAAATCTAATTGGTTTTTCCTCAAAGAATTGTTTGAGTTGGAAGAGACCCTTAAAAGTCATCTAGTACAACTCCCCTACAATAAACAAGAACTTCTAGAGTTAGATCAGGTTACTCAGAGCCCCAGCCTGATCTGAATGTCTCCAGGGGTGGGACGTCCAAAACAGAACCGTAGAACTGTTTTGGGGTTGGAAGGGAACACGAGATCATTGAGTCCAACTCCCCTGCTAAAGCATGTTCCCTACAGTAGGTCACACACGTAGACATCCACACCGGTCTTGTATTTCTCCATAGAAGGAGACTCTACAACCTCTCTGGGTGACCTGTTCCAGTGCCTCACCACCCTTATTGGAAAGAACTTCTTAGTTATATCCAATATTAACCCCATTTTTCCTTCTTGCAGCTTGAAACCATATCCCTTGTCCTGTCACAACAGACCATGCTAAAGAGTCTGTCCTCTTCCTTCTAATAGAACTCCTTTATATACTGAAAGGATATCCTCAGGTGTCCCCAGAACCTTATCTTCTTCAGGCTGAACAGCCCCAGCTATCTCAGCCTCTCCCTGTGGGAGAGCTGTTTCAACCAATTTTTGTGGCTGCCCTCTGGATGCACTCCAATAGATCCACATCTCTCCTGTACTGAAGACTCCACATCTGGATGTCCTACTCCAAGTCAAGTTTCACCAGTGCAGAGCAGAGAAATATCAGAAATATATTTTTCATTATTTTCAAAAATGATGAAGAATTTGGAGACAATTTCATTGTTTCTCTTAAATTATTCACCATATTTGTAGATCTTTTACTGTCTGCTGCTCTTGTGCTGCTCTGGTTTTTTTCTGTGCTTTTCTAGCTGCTGTGTTGCTAGGACATGCTTAAGTAGCTACCAAGGTTACAAAGTACGGAGTGGGAGAAGCTTCTCACTGAAATAAGAAAAGCAGTGAAATAATAAGTTGTATGAAGAGTCTGAAATAAAATATTTGAAGCAATATGTTTTGTTTGTTTTAAAGTATGAGTTTGCTTGCAAAAAGCTTACCTATGAGTAAAAGTGAGATAACAGTTAAGGTTAGCCCTTCATAACAGTATTTTCAAACACCGTGATAACATCTCTGTAAACATCTCTGGTGTTCATAAATCCTGTTTTTTCTGAATTGCAGTTTTAAGAGTATTCACTAAAATATTCATAAGGGAATGTGTCAAGCATGATTAAGTCTATATTCTAGTGTAAGTGCTTTTGTTGTAGAATTGTTTCCAAACTTGAAAATTTGAATAGATTATTCATACCATGTCAGGTCCTACTCCACTATATTTTTAATGTTGTCTTCATTTGAATCTTGACAACTTGAAACATATGGTAAGCAGTTAAAGAACCTGCCAAAAATAAAAGAACTGTGTAGTAAAGGCTGAATAATGTAGATGTTTAAATTGTGTAAGTATGTTTTCAAATATGAAATATTTTGAGTTGCTGTGCTTATGTAGCTTGATCCATTAATTATCTGAATAAACTGAATCCTGATTCTCAAGTGTTTCTCTGATGTAACTTTAGACTGGATTCAGTGAGAACTGCTAGCTGCTTGCATGCATCTGTATTTTCCTTAATGACCATAGTCCAGTCCAAAATTAATTTTATGGACAGAGGCCTGTAGAGCAGCTTTGCTGTAAAAGGTGAACACGTCTTACAGGCTCTTTGCTCCTTTCCCATGGAATCTCTCAGGGCTGGTCTATAGCTTGAAAGCTTTGTTGACGGTTTTCTGGGCAATTAAATTCACAGGTAGTACTTCAAAGGAAAAATGGATGCTTGTCTGGAAAGAATGGATGTTTCCCAGCTGGAGAAAAAAAGAGAGAAATTTTACAAGGATCATGTAAGCCCTGTAGGTATTTTTACATAACCTACCACCAACTGTTCTATTTTCCTCCTAGTCTGAGATTGTTCAGGCAAGTTTCTCCAGTCCACTTAATGAAACGGCAGCTTTCAGGCCATAGAGTTGAAGCTTCTTCACATCTATAAGAGAAGACTGCAGAAAGACTGGATTCTTCTGCTTGTTAATATCTATCAAGCAGCTGTAAAACTGGGATTGAGCCATGTAGTGGATGGTAACATGGAGTAAAATGGCCACTGTTCTTCAAATTAGTTCACAGAGTTAAAGAGTAGCATTAGTTGCATAGTATTTTCTATGGAAAGATTAAAGGTAGCATTTTGGTGTCCTTGGGACTTCTTTCTATTCCTTTTATTCTTTGGTAACTGGAAAACACTGAAACAATGAGATGTTTTCCAAATGTTCCTCAACCAATCAGGAGTTCTAGATGCGCTACAACAAAGCTTTGGTTAGTGAAATGTTCATGAGTTCTACATATTACTATATAAAAAATCTTGGAAAGAAATGCTGGAAGATGTTAAAAGTGGAGGTGGAATTCTAAGAGAACCATAGAAGAATTATTTTTCTAAGTTAATAATTGAAGTGTATTTCTTTCTTTACAGCTTCCCCAAAACAATTGCTACGGTGAAATATAGTTGTGATATTGAAAGTTCCATATATTATGCTACTATTAATTCTTTGCACACTAAGGTTTTTAATCTGAAGCTTTTTTAAAATTGATTTGCTCATTGCAAAAGTTTGCTTTGTTCAATTAGTTGAAAATTAACACAAATTTGGAAAGCTGCTGGGGCATTTTGTTTGACTCATTTTTTGGTACAGTTACAAAAAAACAGTAAATAATTCATGCTTAAACTAGAAGGAAACAGATCCGCACCTGTTCTTTTGAAAACAACTAGTAGTCCTTTAATGGACTTGTTCACTGTTTTTCCAAAAGTTAGTTATGAAAAGTATATTAAGAGCTTGATTCTTTATACTGCTGTTGCAATAATCATGCCAATAACCTGTGTGAAGCTGCTAGAGCACAGGTATGTGGAAATAAAAATGGGAAAGGTTTAGCCTATGTATTCTGAAAAATATATCTTAGAATTACTGTTTCTGTAGGACGTATAAAGGTTTACCACAATCAAATGTATTATACTGACTGAAACAGCCATCTCCATCCTTTCCTTTTCCCAGCATTACTGTAACATTTAGATAATGCGTCTTGAAACTGAAATGAGATCTATTTATTAATTTAAAGCCTTATCTTCTGAGAGGCTGGAAAGACTGATGGAGTGGGAGAGGATTTTATGCAATTGTCTTGATGTGAAAGCTTTCCTGTAATGTGTAAAAGGAGAAGAGCCACAAGAAAGCTTTCTTTATTGTGCCATTTCAAACTGAACAAATATATACCTGTTGATAAAACTATTTGTTTTACTTGAAAGTTCCAAGAAGAATGGTTAATTTAATTTTTCACAAACACTCTGTAGCAGAATCTGCTGTTTGCTGAGTAGGGCTCAACAGTCTGATAATTGGAAGCAGCTTCCACGAAGCATCAAGTATTCCATCAGAGTATTGGTCTTCTTCTGGAGGGCAGCCAAACACAAAGAGAGAGCTAGATTTTTGAAGATACCATGCTATTATTCTTTGCTGAATGTAATTTGTAGATGCAGATACTTACATTTCCTTAATTGCATAATGGTTCAGCTTCAGGAAAAACA